GGAAGCATTCTTACAAATTAATATTACCTCCCTCCCCATGTCCTGTTACCACTTAAACTGATATGGATCATTACTTGATTTCTTCTTACTTCCAGGGTCAATAACACAATGACAGAAACACGTAGTTTTAACATTTACGTTAATGGATGAAATCCTATGGTGTGACCATTGAAATGAATGAATTTAGTTTTAAAAGAAAAAAGGAAAACGTTTTATGTCAAAATAAACGTTGCCGTGTTACTTCCGCTGCTAGTGTGAGGCGTCACTGCCATCCGTGTTATTGCCTAATTTCATACCGCGCGGAAGCCTGGCACTACCGGATTTTCCCGGACTTTTTAAATTCCGGATTCAAAATGGCTTCCAAAACAGAGGGTAATGCAAAGGTCATTGCGTGCAGTTGAAATGATATTAAGGGCCAGGTTACTCCAGAAAGTTAATATTCTACAGCAAAGAATAGTGCTGTTGTTTTACGCTATGAAGAACTTCGCTTAAAAACCTTGAGAAAAGAAAGATCTAATCCGAGACTTTCGTTACTTGGAACTATTGGAAGGATTCCCGAATTGTTCGACAAAAAATTTGAACAAAGAACCGTCGCGTTTATCTTTTTTACGGCGCTGGATCCAACCGAATATTGGGGAATTATAAAAGAGTGGGTGTACCTGTTTTTACAAACCGTAAAATTACCAAAAAGCGAAACACGTCAGAGTGAATCATAATTTCAGCATTATTTTGCTAAAATGAGCATAATTCTAAAAAAGAACAATTTTGAAAAACATTGGGCACTGCAACTAGCACAATCGATAAGGGCCTATTGAAGATAATTTATGTGAAGCCCATGAGATATGTAAAGGCGTGGTAAGCACTTGGAAACAGTGCATAGATTTACCTACTGGGCCGGGTTGTTCAAAGCTGCGGTAAGATAACCCAGGGTTAGTGCGAAATTTGAACTCAGATATGCACCTTAAGAAGCAAATTCGGTTTAATTCTCTTTGCCTACAATTTGATGATTCGATACTCTGAAAAGGATAGGGCAAATTATCCGAGAGAGTCCTTTGGATGCAAAGAAAAAGAAACCCGGGTTAAAATTTTACCCTGGGTTAGCGCTAACCGGCGTTTAAACAACTGGGCCCTGGACGGTAATGTTGTTTCGATTGGATATATTGACAAAGATATGGACGTCTGGATTAGAAAACCTTATTATGCTTTCAATTTTCTCAACCCCATTTGGAAAATCTCCCGGAGATTGGAGACAGCCCCCCCCCTCCCCCCACCCCCCAATCTGAATGAGAGGCGTCGGAATACAGAACCAAGCAAAGGTGCCGCCCACTTCGCCAGGGAAGAAAACCATAACATGAATCTTTTAAGAAGGGTCAGTCTAACAATTCCTCTCGAAGCTCGACAGAAATCCGAATCTGAGTTAAAGACTTCTTCGTTGCGTCAGCGATAGCACGGTACACAGCGTTTAACCTAGTACCAAAGGGCAAATGATTTAGTGGTTAATGCCGTAAACATTTGCATATTCCTAAGCGAGACTGACTTGTGGGCAAGGAGGCTTGCCCGGAGATCCGCAAAACTTTGAGCGCTTATCCTGTGGCAAAATGGACGCTTGCTTGAGTGCGTCCGAAATACAGCCTAGAAACCCAATCGCGGTAGAAGGAAGCAGTGCACTTCTCTTAAGACCTATAAAACAACCCAGAGATAAAAGCACCGAACAAGCAATGAAGGCGGCCATATCAGCTAAACTAAAGCCTTGGAGATGTAGTTGACGCGAGCCTGGCTGGAAGCGCACCTGACCGAAGTGTCTATATAATTATCATCTATATAATGCGAGCATGGAACGCCATGTAAACGAATGAAACTAGTTGCCGCCAACCCGATGCTATAGTAAATATATGCGTTGGCCTTCCAGCCGAAAGGTAACGTGGCATACACAAAATACCAGTCAGCCCACCGGAAACCGGAAAACGTAGACCATGATGGGTGTAAGCGGACAAGATCAAATCCACTTTTCTCATCAAAAGTAGTCTGAAAGTGTCCATCGTAGAAAACGCATCGGGACAGATCTGTAATATAATCCAAACGAATAGGATAATTCTTGATCCATAGATTCAAAAAGCGTTCGTCATGGCACATGCGAGTCTTTGTAGGCTCAATGGTAATTGGCATGACCAGATGAGGAGGATCGACTTCGCCTACCTTACCCCATATGAGAAACGATCCGTTAGCGACTTTGTCTAGTAACGGTTCACCAGACAAAATCAGTGCGTTGATTAGATAGATAGATTGATGGTTTATTAAATTACTTCGCAGCTTCTAGGCTGAATTATGTTATTTTACAATACCGTAATAAAACTCTGATAATAATATAAAATAATATAGTAATAGCCCATGAATTATTATAATAAAGCTATAATTATTAAAGATATTTACAAATACTTTAAAAAATGTGATAGCGTTTAAAAACTATTAAATTTACGAAAGTTTATAATTAAAAATTCAC